TACTAACCCTCGTGAGGGTTACGAGGGTTACTCTCACGAGGGTTACCCTCACGAGGGTCACGAGGGTTATGAGAGTTTCGCTCACGAGGTATATGAGAGTTACCCTCACGAGGGTCATGAGAGTTACCCTCACGACTGTCACGAGACTTGCCCTCACAAGGGTGACTAGGGTTACCCTCACGAGGGTCACGATGGTTACCCAGGTCACGTGAAACCCCGGGGTGAGTGACCTGGGAATACCCCCAGGTCACGTGACCCACCCGTTGACGTCATCGCCACTGATGACGTCATCAGTGACGTCACTAATGCCGTCACCGGCACCGTCATCGTCATCCTCACTGATGACATCATCTGTGACGTCACTGATGACGTCATCGGTATCCACATCGGCATCGTCACTGATGACGTCACTGATGATGTCATCGGCATCGTCACGTGACCCAGGTCACGTGACACCCCCGACGCCACGTGACACCCCAAGGTGACGTGACTCCCACGTGGTCACGTGACCTCCCCAAGGTCACGTGACCCCCCCGCCACCCGAGGTCCACTTGACCCACCCCCTGGTACCCTTCCCTCCTCCTCCTCCTCAAGAGCTGCGCTCTAATTCGGCGTTACAGGGAGTTGTAAACGGCTTTCATTTTTTTTTCTCTTAGACTCAAAAAGCGGTCATCAAAACAATTGCCGCGGTTTGAGGTGCTCGATTGGTGAACTCCCCTAATAAACATGGGTGTCCGCCTGTACGTTTTCGAAGTAAAACGCAAAAAAAATTGTCGATATCGTGTTTTAATAGTGTCGGCCAGTGTTCTAACAGCGCTATAGGTTTAAAGAAAATGACAGTTTTTTTTTTATTGGAAAGATAAACTACGCATCACCGAATGCTTATTCTCTGCCGAAATGTAGTCCTAGCGGTATGAACCAGATGCCAAAGTTTCAGAACAAACCGTAATCGCATTCAAAAGTTATAACCGGTTGCAGAACAAACCGTTATCACATTCAAATGTTATAGGCGTCAGATGAACCACTTACATTAAATTGACCTGAATGGCGCAGGTTACCGGAAAAAATTTATGCTACGAATTCAAACTTTGCGCGTTCTCATTCCCTCTGGTTTCAAATTGCAATTCTGCCGTCGTTCATTTTGCAGGATTACCACTGCATGGTCAATGTCAAAGATACATGTTATCCTAAGCAGTCACTCGTGCAAGGAAGTGACTGTCAAAACTCGGGTAAAAAGTACAATTAGTGGGTTTTATGTGCCAACCAACGAAAGGCATTTGACGCGTCCAAACGACGGACAGTGATATAATCCGATCACTTGGGTAAGGATCTTTCGATATGAAACGGAAACCTCGTTTACCTTTCCCTTCTCCGCGACCTCCGAAAAACAAATCTGTCAGATGACGAGCAGCTTGACCGGGATTGGAATCCGTCAACTGGGACTCCGGGGGCTTCCAAGCAGAGTGTTTCGTAACCTTCGCGTGATCTAAAAACAAAGTGTGCAGAAAATCGTAGGAGAAAACGCAGGCCCCCTGCCAGTCATTTGCCGACTATTTATGGGTGATTCAGGCGGTCCGGCAGACCGCCGACCCGAATGCCACGAGCACGGAGAGGGTCTAGCGGTAAACTTCCAGTGGACATTGAGAATAAAAGTCAGCCCGGGAAACATTTCTGAGCGTGCGTGGCGGTAAAGGAAGTAAAATAATCTGTTAATAAATAGCCTTGATCCCAAACCAATTTTTAAAACGCAGCTCTTAGGCGCCCGTTTCCGGCTTGACCGGCGTCGCCATCGCCGTCGCCGTCGCCGCCGGCATAACCGCGAGGTCACGTGACCCCCAAGGTGACCCTAAGGTCACGTGACTCAAGGTCACGTGACCCCCAAGGTCACGTGACTCCCAGAAGTCATCTGAACCCCCAAGGTCACGTGACACCCAAGGTGACGTGACTCGATCCCAGAGGCCACGCGACCCCCAGAGATCACGTGACTCCCCAAGGTCCCGTGACACCCAAGATCACGTGACTCCCAGAGGTCACGTGACCCCCAAGGTCACTTGACACCCAAGGTCACTTGACACCAGAGGTCACGTGACTCTCTAAGTCACGTGACCCCTCCCCCCCGGAGGTCACGTGACCCCCTATCACCACCCCCCCCCCCGAAGACACGTGACAACCCCCGAGGTTAGGTGATCCCCCGGAGCATATTTAAGGATGAGGGGAGGAGGAGATGGAGGAGGAGGAGGGGTCTACCCTCCCCTCAGCACGCTTCCCTCCTCCTCCTCAAGAGCTGCGCTCCGATTCGGCGTTACAGGGAGTTGTAAAAGGCTTTCACTTTTTTATGCCCGGTTGTCATGTTGGTGTACACACTCAAAATTACATTGAACACTCCAATAAACAATAACGGTGATCTTCGACATGAACACTAAAGAATCAAACACAACGAAAAACTTACTGAGTGTTCCTCTTTTTATATAATGCTCCTATAATATTACTTTCCTTTGCTGTCTTTATATATTTTTATGTATCGAACTACTCAGGACACAAGAGGCTGGTTCAACATTTTGATCATATTTAAGTTTCTTGTTTTGTCCAGTGTTACTCGGTCTCACTCACTACCTTTTCCAGAAAAGGCTTTATGTATGTCAGTTACTTTTGTGTTTACTAAGAAATTACACCCGACAGACTCAGGGGAAATTATACTAATTTGTCCACGTTTCTCATTGCTCAATGCTTCAGGCCGTATCTCCTGTTTGTCGAAGTCAAGATAACATTAATTACTCCTGGACGCCCAATGTGCGTCAGTACTATTAGCACAGGCTTGTTTGCACTTTGATCAAACATAAATGGATTCCATATATTTTCATGTTATGACCTTTCGAAACTGAATACTATATCATTATCCGTTGTTTCCTCCCACTCTCACTCTCCCCTGCCCTTTTTTCTGCTGCTATGACAATTCAAGCGCTGGGGCTACAAAAGCCGCTTCAAGTTGAAGTTCATACTTTCTCTACCTTGTTCACCTGTTTCTTACGTCAAATGAAGCTGGAATTAGCTTTAAAATCCGTAGCGAGTGGAGCTTCAGAACCGACCTTTAACAACGGCGCAGATGAAGCTGAGTGCCGTGACACTATCGGATCTATGGAACACCGTGATTCTAAAAGGAAAAAGGTGAACAGGGGAACGACTTATGTAGGAGCGCGACCGAGTAAGTCCTGCCTTGAGTCGCTGCGGACGCTCAAAACATTTCTGAATGATGGCTGTCTGCTGGCCTACCGTTGCCGCCATGATGGTTATATAAAGGTGGCAACGAATTGAGTGGTCGAGGGCGTCGGGTTTTTAAGGACTGAGAACAGGTCACAGACAGCTGCCACAAAACCGATTTTTACACAAAGTTTTATTTTATTTATTTCTAACCACGGACCGTTGCGTGTTCCTAGGATTCTACAATATAATTTGTTTTGAAGAATCCATTTTTAGGGCAGTCGTTCGTGTCCCCCCGTACTGCGCCTACAAATCACTACCGCACAAAGGTCACAAAATGGACGACTCGCATACGACACATAAGAGGCCACCGGGCAAGTGAATGCGCGCAGTCTCGTTGCTACTAGAGGTAAAGAGGTGATTACCCTGCAAACATTTGCGAGGTGATCATATCCTTTTCGCTGATATTTCTCGCTGGTCAGTGATGCAACCCTTCAAAGACGATGATTTTGCGGAACAACCAATATGCAATGAGCTGTGCTTTGATGGAATATCAAAAGTACAGTTTGCCTAGCCTAAAGCAATGTTGTTCTTTTGTGTGTTTTTTTTTTCTCTTGGATAACCTGATTCGACAGTTAACAAGTCGCATTTGTTTGCAACTTTTTTTTTTAATTTATCAAATGCGCCCAGCACTTCGGTGTCCATGGCCTCTATCATTTAAAGACTGTGTATCGTAGGGATGCAGAGTCTGTTTAGTGAGATCCTTCGTAAGAGAAGAAAATCACGAGAGTGCTTAGAAAATATAAAGCAATATTGTGAGGAACAAAACAAAAATATTGACACATAACATTGTAATACTAGTGCTTAATAGGGCAAACACGTGCCTCCAGCTCAAAAGGGCACCGCACGTCCTTGAATGGCGGTGGAAAGGTGACTCACTCGATGCTGTCAGTGAGGATTCGACAACATTTCATACAAGAGCATACTATACGGTCCCAGATTGTACTGGAAAGTTTAAGAAGATCAAGGCAAGACAAACTGAGAGCCAGGCTTGTAGGGTTCAAACCTCTCACTTCGATAAATGAAGTGATGATTTTGATCGCTCTTTGGTCGTGACCCTTTTTTGCTAATCTGAGCGCCAATTCAGACTGACACGTGGTAGTAGTGTTTACAGCTTTGTAATAAAAGAAGTGACAAACATCACTGCTCGCTTATTGAATATAAGAAAAACAAACGACTTGCAAGTTGTGTCTAGAGGTAGGGTTATTTTATATTTAATACGAACACAAAGCTCGACAACCCGGGCGATGCTTGAAGCCGTGCCTCAACTACCGCGACCTGTAACGTTTTGGAGCTGGTGGCTACTTCCTCAGCTGCCTCGCTTTAATTTAAGAGTTGCTATCCAAAATCAATTTTATTTCACCAATAATGACACTTACTATAAAGTACAACAATAAAAAAAAAAGCCGCGAATGAAGTTAGTTTTGCACCTAGTGAATTTTCTCCCCCTGTTTATCGCTCGCAAATATGCGAGCGCACCCGCCTAGACGCGTTTCAACGTTGTGTGTTATCTGCGACCTCTGAATGCTGCATAGGCAAGTTATAAAGCACAATCTAATAATAGACCTTTTTCAAACATCCCTCAATCAACACTTGCGGTGGCCATATTTTGGGCGCCGCTTCGTAAGTGAAGCCTGTCGCTTGGCCCAAGTTTACGCCGAGCGCAGACGCGGTCCTTCTGTACATTGTATGCTCAATATGACCCCCAAGATAATGCGGCCACAGATAATCTACGCAGCAGCTTTTGAACTTTTTATCGATTTATTTTCAGGCATTCATTTAGGAGAATGTGTTCCCCTTTCTTGGAGATAGATTTCTCGATCACTGCCGTAGCTTGACGATGTTCTCTGAAATCCATTCAGTGAAGGCCGGCACCCTGGTGTTGAAACCCGGTTCCACGCCACAGGGCCCGCCGCCCGAGACCACGCCGACGAGGATGGATGAACCGCTGTCCTCCTTCATGACTGGACCTCCGGAGTCACCCTATATACAAACGCGACATCGGCGCTTTGTTTGCATGGTTTTCAAACAAGGTAATGTAACAAGGTAGCAAGGTAACTAAAATATACTAAGCGGCTGGCCCACATATGCTGATGCCATCTCCCGTGCGGATTTAATCAGGATATTAATTCGTGGGATAAAAAGAGCAAAAACCGGGCCAGTATTTTATGCGATATGTCCTATCTAGGCTATCAAATATTATAGGTTCATGTGGCATTATATAAAAACATGTTCTGCGTAGAGCCAGTTCCCAAATCCTAGTTGGGTCACCCTCCGCAAATTATTACCAATATGTCCCACTTCAATTCCTCAGTAACGTGTGACCTAAAAGGGTATCATTGCATTTAAAACCTTGTCTGAAGATTAACCTTGAATCAACGAAATGTGCTTCCTTGCAGTTAGATATGCCGCTATGTAGCCCGTCATTTATTTGCGTGGCAAACCGTCGCAGTGCTCACTTGGGAGTTTTATATATGATCCAAGGGTTATTCGGGAACTTCATACTACTGGAATTCCCCGAGCCAAGCCTGAACCTGCCTGACGTCACTTACAGGGCACGAGTCCTTCCCGGGGCTTCCGGCGCAGAACATGACCTTTTTGTCGAATATTCCGAAACAGGGTGGGGATGTTACAGGAATCGATACAGCGAGCAGATGCGGAGAAGAAGGTTCGTCTGAAATTAGAACCCTAAAGATTAGTTTATATATATATATATATATATATATATATATATATATATATATATATATATATATATATATATATACAGGTTTTTTTTTTTAAGCATAACAGATTTGTTTTAAAAGAAGCCGTGAAAGTTACACTTAAGCCCCTTGTGGATGTGAGTTATACGGCCAGGGGGACATATTATAGAGGGATAATCGTAAAGATCAGTCGACTAATTCATTAAAATTTGGTAATTAACTTTTTAATTAATTGAAATAGACATATGGTTTCAATTAGAAACTTGCTCATTGTCATTGAAAACCACTAAATCAGTAATTTTCAAAAAGACCTTCGGCGCGTGAGAAGCGTAGTATTGTACTAAAGTTGCCACTAGTGGAGCAGGTACAAGGCTGGGGCTAGATAAGGGACGGAAAAATCGCGCGGGCGCCTCATCGCAACCGCTAGCTTTGTACCTGCTCCACGAGTGGCAACTTTGGTGCACTACTACGCTTCTCACGCTCTTAAAGTCCTTCTGAAAATTACTGATTTACTGGTTTTCGATGACGCTGAGCAAGTTTCTAATTAGAACCATATGTCCATTTTCATTAATTAAAAAGTTTATTAAGGAATTTTAGTTGATTATTTGACTGATTGTTACGATTAGCCCCTTATAATATGTCCGCCTGGCCGTTTAACTCACCTCCACAAGCGGCATAAGTGTAACTTTTACGGCTTTTTTTAAAGAAATCGGTTAACCTTAAAAAAAACACCCTACATATATCTATATCTATATATCTATATATATATATATATATATATATATATATATATATATATATATATATATATATATATATATATATATATATTTATTTATTTATATAGAAAAAGTCAATCAGAGTATATTGCTAGTTTTTATACAAAATATTTAGCGAAAAATATATACGTCAGACATGACTGCCAAGGACTAGCCAGAGCTGGCCGAACCTCTCCCTTACTTCAACCTCATAATTAATTATTTCCAAACACCATCGCCACGAGTTTAAAAAGCTGTTACGAAACTGCATTTTGCAGCTGCTGATGCTTTTCGTTGCCCCTCATGGTCTGCAGAAAACACTTGTCAACACAGCTCGCTGGTGATCACAGCTCCGTCTAACGTTTGTGGCTTAGGAATAGATACATGGAAACCAAGGACCCTGAGATACCTTCACCAGCAGGGTTGCAAAGTATCTAGGAGCAAGCAACTGCAAATCGGTATCTAGGTACTTTTGTTGTACCTGAGGGTCAAACCTAGGTACTTTCATCCCTCAGTATCTGTATCTGTATCTTAGGTACATTTTCCAGTAACTTGTAACTAAGTGAAGTTACTTTTTACAGGTACTTTTCTATTCACTTCGTCAAAATCGTATAAAATACAATATAACGCATAACTGAAAATAAATTATAAGTACAGTCGTAAAGCAATTTAACGTCACGTAGTGTTTCCATGCAATAAATCGAACTCAAATTTTGAACTTTACAAAACTGAAAATGTTTGTGAAGAAAAAAAACTGGGAGGACGATTAACCTTCGCCTTTAAGAGTTGAACGCGATAGAGTTATCGGGCCCCGTTCGCATGGCCTTCTCCACCGCTTCTCATGCTCTTAGTCACACAACGACCTAGTTCTTATGATACAATACTGCTGGCGCGATTGAGGAGCTTCTGCCAGTGCTTTAATGCTATTTTGCCCCGCAAAGTTTATTTATGTGTTTGCTCGGCACGCGCAGACAACACTCGATGCGATAATGCCTTTACTCTGACACAGACACACATCGAGGCACTCCAATTACGGCAGGATCGCAGTGCCATTCCAAAGCCCTCCGTTGCCTAGTCGGTAGCATGTCGGGCTCGCAACCGAAGGGTCGTGGGTGCGATTCTGCGTAAATTCTTCAAATTTTTCTTTAAGGAAAATGAATTAGTTTATCATGTGGGATCATTTGAAACATGCGGCGACCATTAATTCGTGTGTCTTTAACCGCCTTCATTCTACGCGTAACGTCACGTTTCACATGAGCGTTGTGGTTTGTTTGAAATTCTCGAGCGAATTCATGTGGCTGTGACGTCACGACCCTATGGACCACTCAGGAATTTCCCGTCACGCCACCGACGCCACCGACATCCGACGGATTTTCTGTGACACAAGCTCCTTAACGCGCTCGCCGTTTAAATATTCTCTTCCTTCCTAAAAACATTGACACCAATAAAGCACGTTTATCAAGCTTGTTTTTGTTTACATCCCAGTATACAAAGGATTTACTTCCAATAATAATGTGACAAATTTGAGAAAAATACTTGACGTGAAAATAAAAAGTATCGTTGAAGTAACTGTACCTGTACCTAGGTAAAATTTTAAGCGAGTAGCTAGATACGCACCTAGGTACATTAACTGTAACTGTATCTTAGGTACATTTTTAAAGTAACGTATACAACCCTGTTCACCAGTATAGTCGTAAGAAAATACCAGACTGTAGGAACGATCCAAGGATATCAAGTGTTCATTGATTGGTGGCTCGCAACCTGAAATGCTGTTCGTCTTTGCTTTATTTTAATTTCTAAATCGCCAGATTTATAAATGCTGTAAGTAGAATTTCTGAAAAAAATCTACGTTCTATGAACGACAAAAATTATTGTCTATTTTGTTTCAGCGAAAAAAAGAGGCTGCATTTCACGAAGCAATCGGAAGGGGAACCATATATGACAATTATCGATGGGAAACCAAGCTGGTCAAGAAAAAGGCCTGTCACGAAGAACGAACACTAAGGGTGTGACGTGTTTGTTCTGCTTATTTTATTGCTAGTAATCAACAGCTTGAGTGATACTTGAATTCACAAAATAAATTGCAGTTGCGACACACGAAATAAACAAATAAAAAGCCAACATCAACAAAGCCACATTTATTTCGCTTCTCTTCTCCAATAAATTAAGTAAACGTATGAACGACTGAGCGAACAATTACATGAAAACATCGGGACACACGATTTAATTATTATGCTTAGAATACATTAATACGAACCTAACAACATGGTCTAGGCAGAAGTACTCCTGAAAGGAGGCTGCTGATACGACACGTAAGAAAAAAAAATGCAGAACTGTTGGATTACAAATTGTAGTCTATAACATATCAGCAAAGCAAATCTGAAAGTTAATATAACTAAAGCAGTCCAAGGGTATAAACTATATGAGCCGGAGAAGTCAGCTTGATCAAAAACGCGTGACCAATCCATTCATACAGAATTAGTTCTTGCAAGCAAATATGACCCTAGCGCGAGCTACAGCAAAGTTTTCGGTATCACTAAATAGGACTGTATTTCGGTCTTGAAACGAACACGGTTACGGAGTTCGCTACAAACTTTCTGCCACCCGTATTTTAGAGTTTGAGAGTTTCAATGTTTAGCTAGTATCCTGCTACAAGAAAAAGTTCTCTATTTATAAATTTTAAAAAAAGAAACCATCTGCAAAACAAAAAATACAAAGCACATGACTTTCGGCTACGACAACGCACCCTGCTAAATAATGTCACATCGCTTCTCAGAATTGTAGCTCTCTGCCCGAGTAACACGCAAGAGAGACACCGAACGTGTCCCGTCAAATTTATGTCGAAAAAAAGACTGATTTGACTTGTGAGTTATGTTTAGCGTCTTCCATCATTCCAACAAACAGAGGATTTAACCGAAAAAAGTGTAGTGCTTTATTTTTGCTTTATTCAATGTTTAAAAAAAAAAATCTTAAAAAAGGAAAAGCTTAACATAAGATTGGTGGCTTATTTTCACGCTCACTCAAATAATCAAGTGCAACTTGTTTATTATGTTTCCAATTAGTGAAAATAAACATTGTTTCAAATAGAAACTTGCTGAGCGGTATCGAAAGCCACTATATAAGTTAATTTCAGAAACAACTAGAGTGCGTGGGAAGGGGGGGGGGGAGGGGGGTGCACTAAAATGACCACCTGTGCAACGGGCGAGGTGCTGGTGGTGCGAAACCACGGATGGTAAGAGACCGAAAAAACGCGCGAGGGCGTTTTTGCACCACTACCCTCGCGCGAGTTGCAGGAGTGGCCACTTGGCGGAGCACCGTACTACCCATGCGTCCCAAATCTTCAAAAAATTATTTATTTAGTGTTCCTTCGATGACGCTTAACATGTGTCTGATATAAACCAGATCTTTATATCCAATGATTAAGAAGTAAAGGAACCCAGTTTAGTCAATTCACCAATTTATCATGAGGATTATCCACTCTATGCTGTCTCCCTGGCCCTGGCCGTATAACTCACCGACACAAATCATATTATTATAGGGAATATTTACGGGACGCCATTTTGTTCAACGTTGTTCGCAGCGCATTCTCAAAACGATGCTCGAGGCCAACATTGTCTGTCATTTGAAACGAAGCGAACAGCGCGCCGCGTGCTAAGCTTTGTTTGGTGCTCAAATATCTCGACCCCACAGGTTTCCCATAGCTTTGGCTTCACTGCCTGCTCGGAATGTCCCCAGTATGTACATTCAACGTCCATTCCACAAAATTATAATCGTTATTCTTTGAAGACGATAAATGGGAGCTAGTTCTGAGCAGGTGCTGTGAACAATGTTCAACAATATAGCGTGCTAGAAACACCCCATATAAAGCAATACGAAAAAGGGCTTGTGGCTGTTAACATTTTCAGTGTTCGTGCGTATGGCGCGTGATTTTCTCGCTTTCCGAAGTGACGAACATGCGGGTGCTGGGCCAAGGAGCTCGTTATCTGGGCTGATGACTTGTAAATATTGGAATGGTGTATAGACTCGTTGCTCTCGGGCAGGCGCGCGAGCGTGTCTGCAACACTAAGGCCCCTCTATCCTGGCAAAAGTAACACCATTCATTATTGTGGAAATGCTCTAGACACGTTCCGCGCGTCACTTCTGGGAAAAAACATGGCGTCTGAAACCTAGTTCACTGCTGTGATGTGCCGCCATGATATTCCCAAGGGCTGCACGTCGGACGTGCGTCGTGCAGCGACGCACCTTGCGCTGTACTTTTGAAACATGAAGGGGCTTTACGCAAGATGCTACCATGTTATACTGGCTGCACCATCCTCGCGATACGACCATAAAAGCGGCGCGTCTGATTTTCCACGTGCCAGGTTTGAATACAAGCATCTGTCAGCATCTGTAAATGGGCGATAACAAAACGCCTAAGGAAATAAAAATGTTAAAAAGAAAAGTATTATGCAGGTCGCGACCTGAGCGTTCCATCGAACATTTCTTTTAGCTTCAAAATGCTACTTTTATAGCCACCGTGAGCGCCTATATTACATATTAAGGGATAGCGAAGCCAAAACTGCTTGTAAGATCATCTTCCCCTGAACGATGCTCGTACTGCACGAGTGCGCGTGTTTGGGCACTGAAAACTCGGAGCTCGCTTTTGCAACCTCCGCTACGTGGCATTTATAATGGAACTGAGCATGAAACAAAAAAAAAGTATTGTGGGGAACCGCAATGAAGCATGTTTGAAACGCGAGCCACATATATTTTTCTTTTGCTCGCTTGGAGCACTGCTCAAAACTTGAAAGCCACAAGCATATAGCTTTAATGTTTGTTCATGTGATTATGAAACGATATTGGGTTGAAATGTTCATGACTTTGCAGAGGCATACTGGTCCTAGTCTGGCCGGAGTATACTCTCATTAACCACCACTGATTCAGAAGCTTCTTCGAGGAGGTGAAGCTGCGAGAATAAAATGGACTATCTCTTTCAGCCTTACATTTGCAATGCTTGATGACGTAATTGTGGGATCGAAACTACCGGCCTGGCGACAGTCGAGCGCATCTCGTATCCAATCCTTGAGCGCGGCTCAAGAATTGGATACGACAATTGCGTGAGCACTCAACCTCGGCTCGTAACTATCAATGCCTCGGCGGACACTCGTGTGATGGCTCATGTCTAAATACTGATGTGATGAGATTAACCGAACTCTGAAAATGCGAGCTCAGCACGCGTTTCCTACTTTGCCATCCTTAGCGCGTGGCAGTGATTAACATTGGCGGCATAGAATAGCCCCTTGGCCACGTGGCCGTACGTTCTGGCTCCGACTTGAGGGGATGAACGATGCTCCCCTAGCAACAATAACGGCTTGAAATCAGTCCGGAACGTAAAATCCGGACTAAGATCAAATCGGAGTTAGACCAGAGAGGCGGCTTCCGGTTCGCACAAACCGTGAATTTTCAAATCTGGTTCAAAGTCAAATTGGAGGAATTTCGGACAGGCAATTCCGGTTCCCTCAAACCGTGATTTTCCTAATCTGGTTCAAAGTCACATTGGAGGAATTCCGGGCAGACGAATTCCGGTTCGCACAAACCGTGATTTTCATCATCTGCTTTAAAGGCAAATTTGAGGAATTCCAGACAGACAAACTCCGGTTCGCACAAACCGTGATTTTCGGAATACAGTTAAAAGTACAATTGAAGGAATTCCAAACAAACAATATGCCGTTCGAACAAACCATTCCTTGCCGAATTCGGTTAAAAGGCAAATTGGACGAAGTCTAGACTGAAAATATCCGCTTTACACAAACCATACTTTCCCATATCTTGTTCAAAATCAAACCGGATCGGCTGTCTGATGCCGAAGACTTTCACGCGTAGGGTTGAAACATCAAGTTGCAAACAATCCATCTTGATCCCGTACGGGCTGCGTCGATCAGAGCTCAGAGCGCAGAAGACGAGCTGATACGCGGCGCCAAAAAGGTTACATCACGGCGATTTTTCAGCAAGTAATCGCCATCTAATTCCATCTAGCTTTTCTATGCGCTCTGCAATACTTGTTCATTATTATGCTTGAAGTGCGTTTTGTTATTTTTTATCTTTTTAAATAATTTCTTTATAACTGTCAAATAACATTTTTTATATAATTCACACCACATAAAACGAACAAAACAAAAACTAACTCGATGCCACAGCTAGATGTACCCACAATCCGAAAGTGTCATTTCAGTATCTTTGATAGCTTTCCTGCGGACTCTTTGTTTATGTTGGAACTTTCGCGAGAACGGCATTGGATTCCCTCTGCGGAGAGGATGCACGCGAGAGAAGCGAGCTGAACCTTACACCACGGCTTGCCTCGGCGGAGACAATCGCGCGGGGGGGAGAGGGGGGGGGGGGGGGGCGAGCTGTGAGCTTCATACCCGCAGCGGCGAGATGCAGCCGCGAAGATCAACAGCTGGGAAAGTAGAGACCTGACCAGAAAGAAAGCTGGAATGCAATCGAGCAGAGTATGAGAAAGTTGCACATGAGAAAGTGGCACGTCGGTTTGAAACGAGTGTGTGTAGTTTAGAATAAAAGTGTTGGTTTTGTTAAGACGGATCGATATCTCTTCGTCCGTCCGTTCGGCTTCAGAAGCATCCAGCGAGCGAAAAATACGCCGAAGACGCCGCCGCGACGGCATCATGAACGAAGCCTTGACTCTGCTCAGGATTTCTCAACGGTGGTGGGTGCTGCTTGCGAGTTCATGGTTTTCGCTAAACGTGCTTACTGAGACTGTGGATGTGTCTCTGAGGTGCACCTGCTCGGTTTTATTAGCTGAACTACCGTACATCAGAAATTTACCCAGCGGCATTGTGAGTACTTTGAAATATATTTTTTTTTGCGATAAGAAGTCAGTTGTCCCTATATGATATGATCTCTTTCGTCTACAGCTGCTTGCGTCCGGGTTGGAACAAACGCTGGTTTTTATTGTGCTTTTAAGTTAAAATATGCTTGTAATACTAAATGACCACAATGAATTTCCATTAACGTTTTTAACTGCATTTTTGTCTATGGTTCACAAACATTTGGGCGTCTAATCGGTTGATGGGCTAAGGGGCTTGGGCTTAAGGGTCTGACGGTTCGAGGGTTTTTCTTGTGGGTATCTCGTATCCTCTGCTGCAGTGCAGCAGAGGCTGCGAGCTATTCCTAAAAAACAAGCACGGCTAGTGTGTCACATAACTGGTAACTACAGGAAAGTCAAGTGACATGCTTTCAGCACTGGATTTCCCGGGATGGTTTGTAGCATCAGCTGCAGAACATCTAGAGATGAAAGAGAGTAGGTATGTCACTCTATTAAACTATTTCTATCATTTTCCGGTGTTGCCTTATACGGTTTAATATACAGTTTGACCCACCCCGGTGAAGCTCTACGGATTGGCCAGTTTGCTTATGGGTTTGCTTATGGGCCCATATGACGGACTGAAATTCCGGATTCATTCCGGTTTATTTTTGAGCCGTTTTTTGGTAGGGTCATATTTCTCGAATCATTTGGCAAATGCAATTGCCTAGAAAAAAAAACGAAGGCAAGTTTATTTAGCGGTTAGTAACGTTACGGAGTAATTTGAAGTAGTGTTTATCGAAAGTAGTAAAATCGTTTCATGGCTCCTTTAATAAATATGTAAAGCACGAGGCCGCGTCGCCGGGCCTCACGCGATTTTCGCCCTTCCGTCGTTTATTCTTGCTTGTTCCTGGATGAGCTAGTTGTCATGAGTGGGATCGGTGGCCGAGTGAACTAGCCGGGCGCACACCAGCTCGGAGGGTATAAAGCGAAAGGTCGCGCCGCAGAAGCCAGGGACTCTGGGCTTAATCCTCACTGCTGCCCGTTTCGATCTGGACTAGCATCCTACCAGCGTGCGGTCGTGTTTCAGTACTGCGTGGTGCAGGTTAAGGACCCCAGGCTAGTGGTTGTACAGCACTGGCTAAATTGCTTGTCTACAATTGAGAGACAACTCGCGAGTTGCGGCAGACTAACATCAGGCTGTATAACCGACACACAAAAACACAAAACACATGCTTTCATTAGAACTTTGAGGTTCCTAAAGAGCTGCTGCTTCTCAACGCTAGTGCCATCCTTCTCTCATTATCTCAACAATAATGAATTTCTAGCGTTCTATCGACATCAGGAACCACTCATGTTGACACACTTCGTTTCAGCTTACGTCCACTAGTCACTAATCCTTTTCTGTTTATTATTGGCTCAGCGATGATAGAACGCATACATCAACATGACGAACATCATGATGGAGCGTTTTTGACGCTCTCTGATTGGTTTCTTCAGCTAGTAGCGTCGGCATAGGAACACAGCACTGACTACAAGGGGTTCTGACATGCCCATTGTGACGATGTGAAACGACCAGAACAGGCAGTAACACAACGTACGTGCAAGTTGTAATTGCATGGAAATACAACTGCCGAAATGTGTTAACATCCGGGACGAGCTAACTTGAGCGTAAGCTTTTGCGTCGCACGTTAGCACTCGTAAAATTTTGATAGTCACTGATTTGCTTCAAAACTGCTTCAACGCATTTATGGAGAAACCTGAACTAGTAACCCAAATTTCAACTCACATAAACTTGTTTTCGCGAAATTATTGAAGTTTTAAACTCAATCTGAGTGGGTCAGAAAATCTACCGCGACGTAATATAAGAAGATATAGGGGCGTCACAGCTTCTTCCTGAAGGGTTACAATTAGTTTCATGGTCAAAAGTGAGTGCTAGTAAAACTGAGCCAAGGAAAAAAAAAAAAAAACATTCGCTAAATTTTGTGTTTTTAAGGGCTCCTGCTCGGCTTGCAATTTACACATCGCATTACTGAAAAATTGCAGAAATGCTGTGAAGCGGGAAACGCGATCATAATTGGACACAGCCCGGTTTTCTTATCCTGTCAGTGACTATACTTGCATGAATAACTATAATATTACACTAATAAAAGCTTTTTAGTCGCAAAACTATGAAACTCAGAAGTCCTTAATTGTGAGAATCCTGCACCTCCCGTTCTCGAGTTTGTGAGGTTTCAAAATGTAGTCTTAAGCAAAAAAGAAAGAAAAAAACAACATTAACGGTTAGTTCTGAAGGTGCTAAACCTGTGCCTACATTCTCTCAATGGGCACCAATCCAACACCTGTAAAAACTCAAGTCTCTATTACCGGGTGCAGTGGCTCCCCAGCCGGCGACTTCAACTTCGCCCTCCAACGGGCGGTCTTTGGCGGGAAGACAGACAGCGCCGATGTGCCCCTTGCTCTCGGCAAAGTCAAAAGGGGCATCCAACTTCAGCAGGGCTATATCGTTGGTGGGGAAAGCATACGACTCGGGAACGGCGAATTGTTTCACCTGCGGGCAATGACGAAATCGGTCGGGCAATCGGGCAATGACGAAATCGGTCGAATTATTCTTTGCAATCGTATAATTCACATTGGTGTTTTAATTGATCGACCCATCCATTAAAATGACGCATCTGGAGCCATTGCAAGGGCTGATAATAAACGTAGTACCATATCGATAGCTTACATTTACACGTTACCCGAAACAAGATAACTAAATACAATTACTCGTTACTCGCTCAAGAAGTAAATAAATATTTTACTCGTTACTGATCCTCAAAAGGAACGTGTTATTTTACTTCAAAAGTAGGGAGTTACTTATCGCGCTATTTGGACGACCAAATAGACAACTGCTTTTGTTTCATGATTTAGTGAGTTTGTTTTTAGTACGCGTTGCACTTAAGCAGTAGTTGCTTCTCAAAGTTTTTATAAGTTATTTTTCCCCGCTTCTATGAGAATACATCTCTGGCGACGCTGACTAGTCCATCTACTGACACGCTGGAATGAACGACAGTGCTCTGCTTCAGCAAGTGGTGGTGAAAGTGGGATTCTTCTGAATCATTTGTTCTCTCTGCTTCACAAGTTCGAAGTTGTCAATGGGTACTGTGGCTTTCCGCGTTGGCAACCTCCGGGTTAAAATTCGTTCCGTACACGATTCCAGATGGTTCAACCAACGAACCTTATTGTCCTCGCTGGGTGAAGGACATTCCCAGCTGTAGAGTTCGACTGACGTGTTCAGCGATAAATTTGATATACTGTCACACTGTTTAGTTGTTTTTCGGGGTGCCCATCTGCCTTTTCAGAATAAACTAATACTCAGGTTAGAATTCGAACGAGGCTGTTTAAATTTTGTTGTACACGTTACTCATCAAAAGTGAAGAATAGCGTTACTCATTATTTGGCCATAAAAGTAGCTAAGTACCTTACTACTTCCTTTTCTAAAAAAGTAACTATATGCGTTAATTGTTACCGAGAAAAGAAACTAGGTAGGAGTAACTCGTTACTAATAACGGGTTATGTGCATATCTGATCGCTAGTAACGAAACCGCTGTACTGGAACGGCCCTCCTACTCCAGTTTCGAGCCTCAGACAAGAGGGCCGCATTATGTACAGTTGTTCCGAAGATGTCCTGTGTTCTCAATAAAAGCGAATCTTTCGATTATTGCTGGATTATTTTTGTCTGGGTATAAATAAATGATTGACTGCTATTATACACTTTTCTCCGTGATGTCTTTAGATCTGCAGCCACTTTCACCTCCAGAACCGTAATAAAAAAAAGTGGGCCTTTCGCCGAATGTTACGAATTCGCCGAGTCATTTGTTGAATGAAGATGTGGTTTATCTTAGGGTAGCTTTTTGTCAACTTATACGTACACGCTTAAAGCGCTAAACGCATAATTTCTCTTTTCAACGACCAAATCTTGTAAGAACTACTTCCCGCACGCTTTAGTAATGCTGAAAAAATTTTTTTCTTGACGTGACAACCAGTATAGAGCAAAAATAACTTCACCTGCTGGTGAACACAATGGCTAGTGGACTCTGAGTCGTAGAATATATTTTGAGTGTAAAAAAAACCTCAAGACTTAATGAACACTCTAAGGACAAATGCCGTCATCTATAACGGTGTGATACATACATGTCGCAGTTGGCTGTAGCTGGGCGGGTTATTGAGGTCCAAGAGTCCAGCACAAAGAATTATATCCCCTGGTTCTAGCCTAGAAAGGAAAGTATACCACTCATCGCATTTTCTTTCCAAGCAAGACATATACTTGCCTTTCAATACAATGCGCAGCGGTCACAACAATGTCCGGTTCGATGATAGATCCCCCACAAAACTGACTCATGGATTTGTTCAGGAGAGCCACCTGCAGTGGAATAGAGTGCAGGGTAATAGTCTGCCATAAAACCCTCCATCCTTCCTCTCCCTGTCGCCCAAAAAGAAGAAAATAAAGATAAAGCTTTCATAAGATAAGTTGCTCGTAATAACGAGACAAAAAATCACGGGTTTACTCAGTTCGTCAGCAAACTTATTGTCTATACAGCGGGTCATTCGCATTAACAGGGTTTCGTATTAACCAGACATGAAGTATTCGGCATACGCCTTCATAAAATACCAGACGAGTACGAACAAGTGTAATTTTTATCGCATTAGGTCGACTGAGGTGTTATTTTGTATAGTTCTACGCGATGCACTCGTACTTCGAAAGATAAGAAAAATGCAGTTCCCGACTGCATTTTTGTTATCACCGCTTGTTATTACCACGCTTCATGCTTCGTTCTTTAGATCTGTGATCGGATAATGGAAATACGAAAAAACATCGTCGACTGATTAGATGGAACTCGACATACCCTAAGATTCTTATGCTAAAGAAACGCAAGACATAGCAGTACCGAACATCTTATTAACTCTCCAATGAGCTTAAGAACAAATCACGATGCAAGAACCGAGAAGACATCGCACTCGGAGCTTTCTAGCATGCCGCTGACTATATACAGTCATGTCTCGTTTATATGGACCTCGTCAATATGGATAACACGCTATATGAACCCCTATTTGAGGGACAACAAAAAATACGTGCATTGTTGTCTCGTTATTATGGACAACTCCTATTTTGGACAATTTTTGGGGGGAACGGATGTTTCAATTTTAACGAGACATCACTGTAGATATTCTTCACTAATTTAAAATGTATGAACGTGATTTTTGTATTCCTGGTACTGCGCGCAATTCAACGCATTCAGTACTTCATAATTTCTAGTAAATGTTAAGAAACAACACAGATGATATGTAAGTTGTCGGTAATTAAATTTTGTCATTAATTTTGCATTTGCCTAGTGTGTTAAAGTAAATAATTTATTAGCTACTACCCATTCAGCGTTTTGTTTTGGATTCGTAAACACATTGTCGGTCAGCCTTTTCGACACGAAACAGTCACTGATAAGAAGTGTACGCGTATTGTACTCAAGACTCTAGCAACAAAGCAATCGTTGAAGCCTCTCATAGGACAGGAAGACGACTGAAACCTCGTTAAATAAACTCCCGGTATCCGTTGTAGTACGCTTACCATCCAGGGAAATTCCCCTTCAGTCGCATTCCGTCCTCCAGTTATTCGTTTACCTTTGTTAAGGGCCGCACCACATGCGTCACCTGTCGTTTCAGCCGTTTGGAAAAAAAAAATGACGTGGACAAAAGTTATTCATTATTTAATACATATTCTAAATATATACTTTGCCTGAATGTATATCTCATTGCGATGCATCCTGCATGCACATCCCACACTCTAAAAAAGGTCGGTGCGTCTAATTTTTTTGCGAAAGAATCAGTAAGCTTCGAGAAACCCCCCTTAGAATATTCTCGCTAATATGCTGAAATCATGATTTATCACTGCTCGTCCGCTAACATTTATTCCTTCCTGAAATGCTCGCGGATGCAATCGCGCCCTTTCTCACACGGAAACAGATTCTGTACATAGATCATATTTACTTCGTAACATGTTTCATAAGCCGCGGATAGATGTAACATTATTTTTGCCGCAATCTCAGCCATGTATTTAAATTAGTAGTAGTGTATTGTTTAGAGGAAATATAATACTGAAGTATGGTCTCTCTCCTACAAAGGATATAATAATAACAATAATAATAATGATAATAATAATAATAATAATAATAATAAAGTTTATTTCCCATTCGATACAGGAATGGAGGAAACAGGAAAAAAGCTGTTTAACAGGAAGACGGAGCCCCCTGCTCCCTCACAGTTCCGATGGACAGGTTAAAATACAAAGCAACAGCAAAAATATCAACATTGTATACAAAAATAGATTACAACCTATCGCAGAAAACTAATATATTCAATTCAAATAAGAAAATAAATCTTGCATTGTGGCACACATTACATCAACGTTTTTGCTTAAGAGGAAATTTAGTAAAGTAGGTAGCATATACTTTGGAGACTGCATGGAATATTCGTTATGGTAAAGAGGCACAGCCCAACGTGCCACCGAACGAATTTGATGGGTGGTAACGTGTTCCCTTAGTTTAGAAAGTTTGGCCAGAATATCCAAGTTTCTTTTTTTTTTTCTATTTTAAAGCGGACCATAGGTTTATACGTGTATACATATCGAAAACACGCAACAAAATATTTTTCAAACAACCCTTCGGTAATGTAGTGATTGCGCAGGCGAGCTGGTGGATGTTAACCATTTTGATTGCGCATTAGTAGTATTTAGTAGTATTAGTGATTGCGCATTCCCTTACACAAAAGTGTAAGGGAATGCGCAAAAACACTTCGAGAAAAGTCTATTCCGTGTGGTAATGGAGTGGTATATGCAATCCCCCTGGAATGTGGCTTTAAATATGTGGGGCAGACGTCAAGGTGTATAAATGACAGATTGACTGAACACAAAAGGAATGTCAAAAACAACGTTGCCAATTCGGAAATAGCGAAACATGTTCAAGAATGTAATAATTGTATACCCCACTGGTCTGAAACAGAGATAATACACAGGGAGTTAAACGAAATCAAAAGGGTTGTAAAAGAAACAATAAAAATGAAATCAATGGGCAACTGCATTAGTCAGGTGTCGTTACAGCTTAGCAGCAGCGCAAAATCATTCTTGCGGATTTGAAAGTTTTGTGAAGTGCTTGTTGAATGTGAAGGTGTAAGTGGTTTCTTCCTTTGTGTATCACGTGGATTGATATCTTCTGTTACCGGGATGCTTTGTGATTATGGGTCGGAGAGTAGAGGGAGAGAGATGTATTGTGTACGCGAAGGATTCACAAGTGTCTTCCGGATGAGGGGAGCTATTGTTCATTGCTTTGTGGAAAACGTCAAGGTCGTTTGACAATTGTGGTGGAAAGATGTGAGACCTTTGTTATCTTTTGGCTTTCGAGATCGGGAAGGTGCTGTGGTGAAGTTTATGGAGTGTATATAAGAAGGTGACCAAATAAACTTGTCTTTAGCTGTGTTAGAGACGTGTCCTCGACTGTTCATTTTTCTTCTACTTCGAAACTTTCCTCTTTTCCTGCCTCAGTCTCGGGCTAAGAACAAAATGGTTAACCCTTCGGTGCTTGAAATATATGAAATACTAGCAATGAGGCGGACAATTTTTTTTGTGTTATAGATGTATTTTTGTAGATTTGAACTGGTGGTTGTACCCCATACCAGGTGGCAGTAGTTTAAGTAGGATGTAAATAAAGTTTGACAGATTAGTTTAACGTTGTTTGGTAAAATGAAATGGTTTCGTGAGACTATTTCAATGACCCTGGACAATCTAGGAAGTATATAGCTTACATGGTCGTCCCAAGACAAATACTGGTGAAAAATGACGCCAAGACTTTTGAAATTCTCCACTATCTCTATAACATTTCAAATTATTACGAGACTTTTTCTTATAAAAACGCTTTTATTTTTGGTTCGAAAGAGAATTGCTTTGGTTTTACTGCTATTCATATTAAGCCTGTTGTGAGATGTCCAATTTTGCAACCCTGTTAAAGTATTATTTGCGCAGTTGATAGGATTATTACCAGTCTTATCCGAAAATAAAAGGGTTGTATCGTCTGCATATATAAAATAATTAGCAAAAGAATCTATGTTAACAATATCGTTAATATAAATGTTAAATAGCAGAGGTCCCGAAATACTCCCCTGTTGTACACTGGAGAAAACAACTTTGTATTAGATGAAAAGCCCTTTAAATAGACAAACTGCTTACGATTACTCAAATATGACTGAAGCAACGTAAGTGCTTGGCCCCGAATTCCATAAAGGTAAAGTTTTTTAGCAATAAATTATGGTTTAGATAATCGAACGCTTTCGATAAAATCAATAAATACGGCTAAAGCCATTCGGTTTGCCTCAAAACTCTCTAAAATAAATTCTTTTTGTTCTAGTAATGCTTTTCTCAGGGCGTTTGTCAACTGATTACGGTGCGATTTAAAAGTCCGAGGGTCATTGGGATCTCCATGCAGTTTTCGTGAATTTTCTATATAGCGTATTTTTAACATTTATATTTTTAAGTAGATCTACAGTTATCAATGGTTTCCGAATGTGTTTCTTTGCTTTAATTAGTTTGTAAGGAAAATTGCTCTGGTAAAGGTTTTTAAACCACTCAAGAAAAGAAAATCACCTTCGTCACCCTAATCTCGCACAATCGGCATATTCTGCAGTCAATAATCGTTTTTGGCATTTGATCGGGTAGCCAGCTACGATTATTTTCTTCTAACTCTGCAGACTATTGGTTTCAATAATCGCCCATTATAACAACATGAATTAAAGGAAAGTGGCGAACACAGCAATAGTGTGCCACACAGTGTGGTACCTTCGTTTGTAACCGAAATATTAACTGCAAGTGGTGATTGCTGCACTTAATTTTAAGTTCATGCTAGCGTCGTTGCATAGCGGACGACAGACTGGGAGGCAGGAAAGGGGTAACAACAGCAGGATCTTTTAATTCCTAGATGTTGCTTTGCGTAAAGGCGATTAAGCGAGCGACGAGCGGCGGAGATTTCCCACAACCGCTCGTCGCGTCGCTCGGTTTTGGGATTTCTAGAAATCGTCGCTCATCGTTTTGGTCGCTTGCTCCCGTCGCTTTCACGCGGTTTGCCGCGTCGCACGAGTGACCAAACGACAGCGAAGAAACCGCATGTAAGCGATTGTCAAATCGCTTACATGCGGTTTTTACTTAATTGCCGCGACACTGGTACCACATATGCGATTGGCACACGCTTCCATATTCTCTCTCATATTGTTTATGATAGAGCCTATGTCTTATTCGTGGCATTAGTTACATACCGTTTTAGAACAGACGGGTGCAAATAAATCTGTCATTTGGTTCTAATTACTTATGTTTGTTCTTCTTTCAGATGCCTTGGGGTACTATGCTAGCCACCACCGGAACCCTAATAACTCCAGAAGATGTGAAGAATCTCGCCAACCGGTTGGGACACATGAATAATATCGTGAAGATTTTTTTTGCATTGCAAATACGTCTTTATGATTATTTTTTGCGGTCTGCAGTATGGTATTTTTTTTAAATAAAGTGAATTTTATTCATTTACGGCCTGTGTTGTCAATATGACCAGTTAAACTGGTTTAACTGCATGGAGTGGCCCAGTGTACACAGTTCTACAGTATTACCAGGATACACATTTTTACAGTAAAACCCGTATCCCCATTTTTATAGTAAGACCAGTATGCACAGTTTCAGTCTGTCCAGTTCAACGAATTTAACCAGTAGGAGGAATCCTGTTTGAACTGCTCCAGTTTACAAAATCTTTCAATAGGGCCGGTAACTGCCCTTCTGGTCCGGGTTTAATTTCTACTGTCTAGCCAAGCTTGGCTGACCACTCGGCCACTAACCTGGCCCATGCTGTATATACAACAGAGAGCCAAGCTTAGGGTACCACTGAGCTTCCCGTCTGAGCCAGGCCATAATTTTAGCGGTGAGCCAGTCCATGGCTATACAGGGGTGGTCCGTATAGCCGGTGGTCGCCAGGCTAGTATACCAGGATGGGGCTGCCTAGCGCCATGGGGCAAAACAATCTAGGTCCACTGAAACTTTCCCGGCTGCCCAGTCTGGCTCAAGCTTGAGCCGGTCATAATGTGCTGCTTGGGACGTTTGCGTGCCCAATTTCAAGTATGTACACTCTCCGGCAATATGAAAGACCCACTGGGAGCGCGTGGCCGAGGCGGTGGCTGGCGGGGGCGCTGCGAGCGCTCCTGGCAATTCCATTCTGCTTCGAGGGAAGGACGCTCACTCGGGGCTCAGCACAAACTGATAAGCGCGTTTCGCTTTAGCTGAGCCCGAGTGAGCGTCCTCCCCTCGAAGCAGAATGAAATTGCCCGTAGCGCTCGCAGCGCCCCCGCCAGCCACCGCCTCGGCCACGCGCTCCCAGTGGGTCTTTCATATTGCCGGAGAGTCTACATTTGGAATTTGAATCTTGCAAGCCCTGTCAAAGTGTTGGTACTTACGGCCCACCCCGCATATTGTGAAACATATTTTGTAGACTATATTTCATGATATACAAAACGACGTGACTATTGCATAATTTGATGCGCCGCAATTAATTCCTTAGTTTAAGTGCACATCTACGATTAAGCGTTTTATACTGCGATGCAAAGTTGTCCCAATCAGCGGTATTCTAGGCGAGCTACCAGACTTCGTGACAACCTTTTGATTCAGATTAAATATATGTGGCTAAATTAAGCATATGAATTTTGGGTCATATAAACACTATGGTTTGTACGTTAATCAGGATGTTCTTTTACTGTTTTGTCAAAGTAACGCAATTTTTGATTTTTGGTACCTGAAAATAAAAG